CTCGGGGGGGGGGAGGGCTGAAAGGGTCTACTTGAGATAGGGCTGAAAGGGTCTACTTGAGATATATGAAATAGGGATATTTGGTGTGTATAGGGTTTGGGGTCAGTTGAAGTTTAGTTTAAGATTTTAATCAACTTTACTCAACGAGGCTAAATTTACTTATACTGTGAGTCCAAAAAAACAGGAGAAAAATTAAAATTTTGATCTTTGTGGGATTTATTCGGATTCCCTTTTTTCCTGAATTTTGGGATTTCTAAAACGTGGTAAGCTTCTAGATTTTAAGAAATAAAGTTAATATATTCCAGGTATTACATTGTTAGTTTATCAAGGTATAAAACAGAATGCAGAGACACCATAATTTAATATATTCAAGGTATTACATTGTTAGTTTATCAAGTTGATGATCTAGATATCAACAGGGGTAATGTATACTTTCCAGGATAAACTGGGTCTGCTGCAACTATAGAACTATGATTTACAAATAATGGGTTAAAAAGATATACTTATTCGGAGTGTTTTAGAAAGAAATTTAGTGTTTGTTTAAAAAAAAATATACAATTTCACTGCAATATTTATCCCTGCGTGTCCCTGTAAAATGCTGGTGAAATCATCGAAGCGATCATGTGAAAAATCCTCTGTCAGGGGAATCTTGAAAAACCTTCCAAAAGGGATTTGGAGAATTTTGAAAGAATTCTATTTAAAACCTAGTCTGTGCCAATGTCTATGACTTTCATTATACAGGGTGTTTAAAAAAAACATGACAATGCAAAAACGACTAAACGATCGTCTTTCATATTTGTTAACTTTCTAATGACAATGTGTGTATCAAAATGAAAGGTTTTAATGATAATAAACTTGTCAAGTTTGGAGGTATATTCCATTATTAAAAGCTTATTAGTCGTGTAGATTTTTAATGATTCACATAAAATAGGTATCAAAAATCAAAGTTTATGTCTCTATTGTCATCTTAATTGGGACACCCTGTATGTACAGTGTAGGTACATTGTACAGTTTTCGGACTTCTCCTCCAAATATCTGAACATTCCCTTCAAACTATATTTCCTGATTTCTGTGTATTTAGGTTTATACATTATCCCTGGACTTAAGAGTTAACTTGGCGAAATTTGATTTTATTGATGTTTTAAATCAGGGATATTGAATTTCACCTCTAAATGTATTTAGGAGAAGGAGGTGGGGAGGGGGGGGATNTCAGTCAGTATCAATCCAGATACAACCCTCTAATTGTATTCGTCAGTATCTATCAAATTTAATACAACTCTCTCTGTATTCTCAAGTCTCTTTATGCTAAAGTAAGTATCAATCCAGGTACAACACTCTCTGTATTCGTCAGTATCTATCAATCGAGATACAACTCGCTTACACTCTATACTCTCTTCCACGAGAACTAATATTCTAGTACGTATCAATCCAGATACAACTCTTTCTGTATTCTTAATTTAGTATCAATCCAGATACAACTCTTTCTGTATTCTTAATTTAGTATCAATCCAGATACAACTCGCTCATGAACTCTATACTCTTTACACGAGAACTAATACTTTAGTCTGTATCAATCCAGATACAACTCGCTCACGAATTCTAAGTGTGTATTTATCGACACACAAGCATATAGTCTCTACCGAACAATATTAATCAGACCGTAATGAAACAGCAGTTCATATTCAACTAATCTATATTTTGGGTTTAATGGTACATGTTAATATGGACCGATGTGGGTCTGTTCAGTAATTAATTAACGTAGTTTAGGGTACAGATAAAATTATAATTTAATATTTATACATATATAGTTATGTTCAGGTTTACAAAATATGGGGTTTATTACTATATTTATTACATAAGCTCTTCTAATCAATCTTTGATTATAAATCAATTCACTGCTGAATCAATTGAACAAATTATCACTAAATCAATTCTTTCTATAAATATATTTTTATGTGATTTTATCAAGATGTTCCTATTGAGTAAAAACAGAATACAGAGACACCATAATTTAATATATTCAAGGTATTACATTGTTAGTTTATCAAGGCATAAAACAGAATGCGGAGACACCATAATTTGCAAAGCTTTTAACCAATTTTCTAGATTTTTTTAAAACACACTTGTTACTTGCTCATATATTTGTAACAAATGCCTTACTCCAGTAGTTCTTCAGTCAGTATCAATCCAGATACAACCCTCTAATTGTATTCGTCAGTATCTATCAAATTTAATACAACTCTCTCTGTATTCTCAAGTCTCTTTATGCTAAAGTAAGTATCAATCCAGGTACAACACTCTCTGTATTCGTCAGTATCTATCAATCGAGATACAACTCGCTTACACTCTATACTCTCTTCCACGAGAACTAATATTCTAGTACGTATCAATCCAGATACAACTCTTTCTGTATTCTTAATTTAGTATCAATCCAGATACAACTCTTNTGGTTGTAAACTCAAAGTTTTTTCCTTGATATATATTTCATGTAAATATATATATCTAAATATATATATTTACATTTAATGGGAATATATTACAAATGAAGGAAGAATATATAATTTATCAGGTGTAGGGACAGATATATATCTATTAGAAGTGTGTATCTCTATTATTTACCACGTAAAGGGTTGTGTTTGTGCCAATGCATAGTGTACAATTCGTTATGCAAGAAGAAGATGGCGGGGGAAGGGATTAAAGACCCCCCTCCCCCGCCATCTTCTTCTTCTTAATTAACTATTGAGCTGATAGTAGGGAAGAAAAAAGATAGAGGAATACATACAGAATAATACTATATTGAGGTGTGATAAGGGAGGATGGGTTGGATAAATGGAGAACTAGAGTAAACCAGGAGATCCAGGAGAATAAGGGAGAACTAGGAGAACAAGTTGAACTAGAAGAATCAGGAGCAACAGGAGAACCAGGAGAATCAAGCGAACCAGGAGAGCCAAACGTAGCAGGAGAATCAGGAGAACCATAAAAACCAGTGAACCAGAAGATCCAGAAGATTGAGTAGTATCAGGAGAACCAGGAAAATCAGGATAACCAAGAGAGCCAGGAGAATCAGGAGTATCATGGGAGAATCAGGAGAATCAGGAGTATCAGGATGACCAGGAGAATTAGGAACATCAGGAGAATCAAGATATTTTAAAGAACCAGGGAGAACCAGGGAGAACCAGGATAACCAGGATAACCAGGATAACCAGGATAACCAGGGAGAACCAGGGAGAACCAGGGAGAACCAAGGAGAACCAGGGAGAACCAGGCAGAACCAGGGAGAACCAGGGAGAACCAGGGAGAACCAGGGAGAACCAGGGAGAACCAGGGAGAACCAGGGAGAACCAGGGAGAATCAGGAAGGACCAGGGAGAACCAGAGAGAATCATGAAGGACTAGGAAGAACCAGGAAAAAAGAAGATAGAGAGCTAGGATGATAAGCGTACCCAGGAGAAACAAGAGAACCAGGGAGAACCAGGGAGAACCAGTGAGAACCAGGGAGAACCAGGGAGAACCAGGAAGGACCAGGGAGAACCAGGAAGAACAAAGAAGCTAGAGAGCTAGGATGATAAGTGTACCCTGGAGAAACAAGAGAACTAGGGAGAACCAGGAGAACTATAGAAACCCTATGAGATGGAAGTGGTTTACTGAATAATTCATCTCAATAATTACTCTTTCTCCGAACTTGAACACTTTATTTTCTCCCTTCTCTTAATTTCGCAGTTGTCCATTGTAATTTACAATATACAATATAAATACAATCAGACAATAAATAGGCTTTCTTTCATGCGGGTTAACTTTAGAACTTAAATTATCATTCTATAAAGCGTGCCGTATTTAACCGTGCTTATTTTTAATGTATGTCTACAGTCTAGGGATAACAATAACAAAAACACCCGGCCATACAATCCTAAGCCATGGAAAAAAGGATTGTGCGGTGCCTACGTGTAAGGGAGATGGCCCTCTCCACTATTAACGGATTCAGACCGAATCCAGTTCTGTTTTTTAGCAGTTCGTGGTTAGCGGGATTATATTTAATGTTTGTAACATTATTGTCGAATACATATATAAATTTGTACTAAAATCTGCTGCTGCTGAAGAATGTCCCAAATGAAACACAGTGTCCAGCAAGCAATAACCAATCTTAATAAACAATAGAATATGTTATAGACTTATTTCAAGAAGATATATAAATTTGTATGTATATATATATATAGTGGTATATAGTAGGAATTATATTAACAATAAGAATGATAGTGAATATCCCTAAATTCAGAAGTAACCATGATAAGGAGCAGTTTAGTTTAGGGTGTGATTGTGGAGGCTTTCACTCGTTTACTGATTGCATACACATAAACTCTATAAAAACAAAAATGAAAAAAATTTATTTTCAAAAAATGTAGTATTATAAACTTATCAATCAGTATTTAATAGTTATCAATTATACATTACATAATTGTTGCGAAACAGAATGATAATTTCAAATTCAAGTCAACTTTTAAGAGTTGTATGCTCCAATCACAATGGTACCTTTAAAAAAATTACCCAAGCAAATGTGACAAGATATTCTTTTTCTTCTTGTTTAAAATTAATATTTTCAACTGTTGCTTTTCTTTGTAAAAGACTTTTGTATTTATGCTGTAGAGACGATGAAGGAAATTAGAGTAATTTATCTCTTTACAAAATACTAAACCAAAATATTTTTCTGTTTGTTATTTTTCAAAAAAAACTTTAAGTTACCTTTATGAATCGGCCATGCACCTTCATTTAAAAGATGTCGCTGGAAGCTGCATAGACCACATCTTTGAAGTTTTTATTAGTTTCTAAATTTTTCGGGACCTCATGGTTTTAATTTTTATCAATATTTCATGTAGGGGACCAAGGTTCCATTTTGTATCAATATTTCAGATTACAACATTACATATTAAGCAATATGTTTAGGGGAAAGGTAAGAATAAGGAAAGTTTCTTTAAATCAAAGATTCTAAAACCTTTTTGATTTACACAGCAGTTAGTAGTGCATGTTAAAGTATCTTTAAGGGGCTTCATGAAAAACCGTATTCGCAGTTTAATTCATTTTTTTTCTAAATACTACATTTTTTCCAAGATTTTAGTAGATCTTGTTGTGATAGACATAGACGTTTGTTAGTTCAAGTTCTTAAAACATCATATTTAAACCCTTTAATTTAGTAATTTTTTTTTTAGATTAAAGTTGATATCCATTCGGCAACAGGTGAAAAACAAAATAAAAACCTAATGATTAGCATAATGCATGACATTTTTGAAATTAAAACGGAAAAACAAAACAATAAAATGGTCAATTTTTAATTTCATCTTTGCAACCCGATGATGCACTTTATTAATTCTAATTTAGAAATTTCAAATGTTTACCCCATCAGGTTGCAAAAATATAATGATAAGAAAATTGGAGTTTGTGGTAAAATTAAAAAATTATTAAATTATTAAAAGAAATTATGGTAAAATATTCTTAATTATACATTTGAAAATCATTAATTCTTGATGTCTTGTTTTCAAGGTTTACAAGAGCCAAGTAGTCTCCACGCAGTAGGATCAGAAGATACACAGGTGTATATCAAACCAGCATACAGTGATACCCATGAAACTGTGAAATAGAAAGACGACGCTTAAGCAATCTCATGTGAACCTTAACATTTAAGTTAAAAAACATTTTCATTCAAATATGATAGGATACGCAAGGCGGCCAAAACTTTGTCTTAGGCTGAATGGAAATGTCACAGGTTGTACAATGTACGTGTTGTAAGAAAAATTTTATTTAAATAAATAACCTTAATGTGGATAAATTCTCAAAATCTCCAACAATTTTTAAGAAATGTCAATGGTAGACCACATTTTAAAAATCCGGAGTCAAGAGGTTTTAAGGTGGGGGCTATAAATACTGTGTAAAACAGTGAAATAATACTTGTGAACCAAAATCAATATAATGTCGTCACTCAGTTCCCAAATTTAGTAGAACACCCTGTATCTTATATATTTGAGAATTTAATTGTTTTCTTTTGTGTTTTCCTACAATATATCTGGCACAATTTATGCTTAGAAAACAAAATTAAAATACTTTTCAGGTTAAAAAACTAGGATTGAAGGTCATTTGAAATACGTTATATTATTCTAGATGAATCCCTACCTGATAGTAGAAGTAGATGAGAAGGAGCTAGGTAGAACTAGTCGACAGTATAATACACTTAATCCTACATGGAACGAGACTCTGTACTCGGAAGAATCAATGGACGCAGAAGATATCAGGTTATCATGTACAAACTATAGATATCAGGTTATCATGTACAAACTATGGATATCATCAGGTTATCATGTACAAACTAACTTTATCAGGTTATCATGTACAAACTGGATATTAGATTATCATGTACAAACTATAGATATCAGGTTATCATGTACAAACTATAGATATCAGGTTATCATGTACAAACTATAGATATCAGGTTATCATGTACAAACTAGATATCATGTTATCATGTACAAACTATAGATATCAGGTTATCATGTACAAACTATAGATATAAGGTTATCATGTACAAACTATAGATATCAGGTTATCATGCACAAACTATAGATATCAGGTTATCATGTGCAAATTATAGATATCAGGTTATCATGTACAAACTATAGATATCAGGTTATCATGAACAACTGTTCCACGCACCCTGGAACGGGACCGTAACATCAGAAATTGTAACTGGTATGACGAAGACGACATGCTTTTCTTATTTTTTCAAATTTTTGCACATGATCGATTGTTCAGCAACTTACAAGTAAAAATCAAATATCGTCTTTGTTCAACCTGTGCCAATTTGATTCCCTTTTTAGACCGGAGTGTCAGGCCCTTACCAAACAACTTAAACTTTCTCAATATTCAAATACTACAAATAACTTATTTCTTGTTCTTATCTTGTTCTTTATATTTTCATTTTTTCTTTTGATATTTTAGATTTGTGATAAAACATTGGTCTCACACAGATGATATTCATGATTTTATTGGAGAATGTACAATATCAATTTCCTTTTTATTAGGTAACAAATGTTCTTTTCCGTTTTGTTATTTTTGTTGCAGATTGTTGGGGAAAACAGTATCATGGCATTTTTTTATTTTGTTGTTTGGCTAAATTGTAAATCTGTACTAAGCCAACTGATTCGTTGGTTAAAAAGCAATTTAAAAAAAAGAAATTTAAGTTTATTAACATCTATGTCAAACTTTTCATTTAAACATGTAAAATTTTGACATATTTCAAACTTCTTAGATTGTTAAAAACCTCTTTACAAAACTTATACAATTTTAAAAACAGTGGTAGGCATTTATATCAATACATTAAAGACGACTTTTAAGGTTTTGATTGCTTACAAGCTTTTTTAAAGTTTACAGGTAATTATTAATTAAAGAGAAGCTTTTTTAATCGACAGCTTCTCTTAACTTCCATGTTTATGTGAATTCATGCTGTTTGCAAGCTTTATATCAATCAAAATTTAAATCAAAAGTCGTCTTAATTGTATTGATATAATCGCCTACCGCTGTACATTGCATGTAATTCATATATATTTATTAATACAGAATTTAACTATATGATTTTCTTTTTTTTGCAGATGGAACAGAAAACAAAATCCAAACATTCCATCTTCCAAACCAACAGCTCTCTCCACAGGTGCAGAATCGATTTAGCAATATTTCTTGGATTGATTTAAAATATGATTTAGCATATTTCAATTCATGTACCTGAATCTACAAATTAACAAATTTGCATTTGAGAAAAAACAACTTAAAAAAATATCTTTGTATTATGAAAATTTGGAAAACTTTTCTTAAAATGGGAAAAAAAAGTTTCAATGTTAAAAATTATTTACTTAGGGATCTGTAAGCTTGAATCTGGTCCAAGAGATAACTATCCCGGATGTCTAGAATATGAATATTATTTACTCAGGGATCTGTAAGCTTGAAACTGGTTCTGGAGAGAACTATTCCAGAAATCCAGAATATGAAACGAAGAAACGCTTTCAAGATCAAATATTACAAAGGACACCAATTCAAGGTTATTGTCTTTGTAAAAAGATAAATATTTTAATCTTACAAACCTATGGCAATGAAAAAAGGGGAAGTTGACGCTTGGGATATTGCAAATTTGGGAAGTTGCCACGTGGGAAAAAGCTTTGGGAATTTTTTTACCCCCCCCCCCCTTCTTCCTGAGTGAGGGTCGGTGGCATATACATCAGATTTACCGTTCAGACACAGCAGATTGTCGTCCCCTGAAATCGCACAAACTGAAACCCAATGGGAACGGGTAACGCTAGATATCACAGCTGTTGTAATCATATAAATGAAATAATTTAACTACAGTGATGACCCATGAACATGAGACACAAAAATTGAGCAGTGTAAACAGACCCATTTTATTTAATACGTGTCTATAAAACTATTTGATTTGTAACAACATCAAATACACTTGAGTAATAAGTATTGTTATGATGTTGTTCTATTCCATTGTTTTTTGGTTCTCACTATATTATCAGGAACACAGTTTCATGAGCCCAACTCTCTGTAAATACTGCGATAATCCTATTCTTGGTTTAGTTAAACAAGGTAAATTTAAAATTAATAGAACAGGAATTCTAAACTATTAAATTTACAGATCTTACTCTCAAAATTTCAACCTCTAGATATTTGTACTTTTAGGGTTCAAGTGCCAGACTTGTGGTATAGGAGTACATAAATATCATTACAACAAGTTGTTGTTGTCATGTACTGGGGTACTGCCTGCTACACCTACAGAGGAGACCAGGTTCAGACTTGGATTCAATGTTCCACACCAGTAAGTTCTTCTTCAAATACAGTACGTATCACTAAACATGACAATTCAAATTCGACCACGTATAGTATTGAGAATCCCGTTTTTTTATCTTTCCGGTAGCGTTTGATCCAATCAGAGTTCAGTCACGTGCTTGGTGATAATTCAGAACGAATATAAATTGCAACTGCGGTTACATCTATCTATCTATTACATCCTCCAATAAGAGATGAATCCTAAAATCAGTGCTAAAAACAAGAACGTAAATATGTTCTTCTACTGAGACAAGGACCTGTAGGCCATATACATAGATTGACTTTCATTAATTAAATTTTTATTTGCTCGGAAAAATGATTGCTTCAAAAAAAAAATTGGAAGAATTTGTGGTTCAATTTGTGGTTCATAACTAGAACTCAATTTTCGGCTTTTAAAACACAAATACTGTGAACTTTTAAAGGTTCAAACATTTTTTAATCATTATATTTTTTTGTAGAAACAATAAGAGAAAAAATGTTTAGGTTGCGAAGGCGTGCATATTTTTTGCCAACAATTTGCAATCATTGTAAGCAACTTATTTTTGGACAACGATTCAAATGCGAGGTACAAAATTCGTCCAAAAAGTATTTGGGTTTTGAATCAGAGTTTTGAGAAAATGAATTTTTTTTTAGAGCAACAGTATTTTCAAGGTGTAAAAAGTAGTTATATTTAGAAATCTTAAAGATTTCAAATGTATCCTTAAACTTAACAATTAAAAGCCAAATTTTTCGTGTTTAAAAAATTCTCAGTTCAAAAATGAGCAATTTTTTCAAACTAAAAATAATCTAATTTCCAAGCATTTCAAAAACTTAAAATGCTTGTAAATTGTTTTTCTTGCTTTGTCATTTATAAAATTGTCAAACAAAAACTAGGATTGTCAGAAAGATTTCCATGTGTATCATCCGAACCTTCTGAATGATTGTGGGGTAGAAAATCAACGTGAGGTATATTTTAGATTTAGAAAAATATTTTCTTTTAAAGACTTTTTTTCAAGTTTATGAGAATACTAGAGCGGCAAAACTTTGACGCTTCTGAAAGATACACTGAAGTAAAGGTAAAACAAAATCAAAGGAAAAGAAAAAATATTTTTTAAATTCCTTCTTTTAGTTAGATTTGCATGCTGACGAATACACTCTAAACCTGCGAGCAATTATCATGAAATCTGACATTTATTCCACTGTGATGAACACCTCCTCCAGACCATCTCTGGATGATTTAGAGTTTATCAAAGTGCTTGGTCAGGGAGCTTTTGGTAAAGTGTTTCAAACCCGTAATAAGAAGACCAATGAGATATTTGCTGTGAAAGCAATTGATAAGAATGTTGTTATTGAGGGGAATGATGTGAATATGATAATGATCGAGAAGGATATCCTGGTTCTTGGGAAAGAGGTGACATAATATGTTTATTCTTAAAGGGAATGATGACGTAAATTCTAATGAACCTCCATTTTGAAAAGTTACATGTCAAATTCACAATTCTAATCTTAGTAACAATGATAAGGATATCGTCGTTTTCCGTATCATAAACAAGTTAAATTCTGACAGTTTCCTTCACTATGTGTCTGCATACATGAATCCGCAAGTCACTTTTAAAGAGAGGCCACAATAAAAAATGTTTGATTTTAGCAAAAAAAAAATATCTCATTTATCCTTGATCAGGCAAAGTCATAAAGGGATTAAGTTTATTCAAATAACGTGGACAGACACTTTAACACAAGTCGAGTTTTAAATATATAAATATATATCTATTCCTTGAAAAATGAAATAAATTTTAGGACAATTTTTTAACTCGACTTCATTCGGCATTTCAAAATCAACACTATCTCTTCTTTGTAATGGAATACGTCAGGTGACACATCACTTAAACATTATTATTATATTATTATTATTATTATTATTATTATTATTATTATTATTATTATTATTATTATTATTATTATTAATAATAATTTGATTTAATATTTTAGCGGTGGAGATCTATTTTATCACATGGTGAAACGACGTGTTTTTAAAGAAGCGCACGCCAGGTATTTATGAAGTATATTTAAAAAAAATGATAAAGGGATTGTACTGCTTTTTCTCAATATTGAAGAACTTTGACAAATAAAAGTTAGTTTTCTTATTTTCGAATAACAGTCCGACAACGTCCGATTCAATTTCAATTTAATTTGAAATCTATCTATTAAATACACATTTCTTTTAGTTTGAATTTTATAAACTCTAATTCTGATATTGTGTTGAGGTTCTACACAGCTGAGATGGCGGTAGCCATCTTGTTTTTACATAAACAAGGAATAATTCATAGAGATCTCAAGCTAGATAATATCCTGCTAGATTCAGAAGGTAAAAAATCAAGCTTCTGGTGTTAGGCTCTGAGGATATCTCATTGATCGTCCGATCATAGAATCTCTACAGCCGTAGGCTTTAGGATCTCTTCATTGACGTCGTATCTTAGAATCTCTATGGTCAAAGGATTTACAATATCTGGGATTGCTGTATCTTGGAATCTTTGTGTCGTCCTTGTATAATTTTAGGTTCTTACTGTCTATCTAAGGATTTTGTGGCCACAAAATTTTAGGATCTTTATAATGGATCTTTAGATCTTTATAATCGCAAAATTGTATGATCTCTTTATCTCTATGATAGCAGAATCTTCTGATCCCTTTGGTTTTGATCATAAAATCTTTGAAATCCTATTAAAAGAACAAGATTATACAGCTAAAGAGACATCGTTTTCTTGTTATGTCAATTTAACCAACTCCATCTTTTTCTTTATAATGTCAGGACATTTTTAGAGATTTATCATTTGCAATAGTTACAAATTACAATATCCTTGGTGACATTTTAAAAATAAAAGAAAAAATAAAAACGGCATTCATTTCACAGTTTCCGGTTTTCACTGAAGGATCTCCAAATGATGGAATATATATTTTGCTGTTGTTAGGTCATGTCAAAGTTGCTGATTTTGGAATGTGTAAGGTTGGTATAATCGAAGGAAATAAAACAAATACACTTTGTGGAACTCCTGAATATATCGCCCCGGGTAATTATTACTCTATTTTGTTAATTTCAGTATTTTATTTTTAAAAATTAAATGTAGATTTTTATAAATCATAATATCAAGCTGAAATCTAAAAAATACTAAAATCATAAAAATATCAAAGAATAAATGAAGAAATTTTACTTGTCTAAATTGTTTATTTTTGCAGAAGTATTAAATCAAGAATGCTATGGCGTGTCGTGTGACTGGTGGTCCTACGGTAAGGCATAAAGTGAAAACTCCTTAATTAAAGGGACTGTCCTTGTTATTTCAAGTGACCTTCCATTTAAAGCTGGGCATGCCCTACGCACAAAGGTCTCCTTTGAACCTTAATCATGAAATAATTTTGAATATGTCTTGATAAATACGTTTAATTGTTAAAAAAAACTAAAATTTTACAAAATAAATTTTTCCTAGGAGAAATAAAAGATATCTCATTCAATTCATTTTATTCACGCTTGATCAGCTTTAAGGATACAGTTCTAATTACGCCTACTCTGTATCTTTAATACTGTTTTCTTCAAGTTGTCTCTTTAATTACGCCTACTGTCTCTTTAATACTGTTTTCTTAAAGTTCTCTCTTTAATTACTCCTACTGTATCTTTAATACTGTTTTGTTCAAGTTCTCTCTTTAATTACGCCTACTTTCTCTTTAATACTGTTTTCTTAAAGTTCTCTCTTTAATTACGCCTACTGTGTCTTTAATACTGTTGTTTCAAGTTCTCTCTTTAATTACGCCTACTGTCTCTTTAATACTGTTTTATTCTAGCTCAGTCTTTAATTACGCCTATTGTCTCTTTAATACTGTTTTATTCATCTTTAATTACGCCTACTGTCTCTTTAATACTGTTTTATTCTAGCTCAGTCTTTAATTACGCCTATTGTCTCTTTAATACTGTTTTATTCAAGCTATCTTTTTAATTACGCCTACTGTCTCTTTAATACTGTTTTATTCAAGCTATATCTTTAATTGCGCCTATTGTCTCTTTAATACTGTTTTCTTAAAGTTCTCTCTTTAATTACGCCTACTGTCTCTTTAATACTGTTTTGTTCAAGTTCTCTCTGTAATTACGCCTACTGTCTCTTTAATTACGCCTACTGTCTCTTTAATACTGTTTTCTTCAAGTTCTTTCTTTAACTTTCTCATTAATATATTATTTCTTCTCTAGGTGTTATTTTGTTTGAAATGATAGTTGGTAGAACCCCTTTCCTAGGGGAGGATGATAACGTAACATTTCAAAATGTAGGAAAATTTGTATATTTGACTAGTCTGTTTGTTTGCATCAAAAGCGTCAAAACGGCTGGATCTAATGGGCCAAAATTTTCGACAGAACTTCATGTAATCCAATGGAATGTTTAAGACTGGTCGAAATAAAAAAATTTGCCAAAATAAATTGTCGATTTAAAAAAAGTCACTACATTTTTAGTTTTCTGGTGCAGCACAAAGAAAAAATGTCGGCTTAAAAAAATCGATCTATTTTATTTTCATCGAATCCATCTTTTCTAACTTTTGTCGTGTTCTTCCTTTTTAGATAAAAACTCAGGAACCTAAATATCCAAAGTCTCTCAGTAACGATGCACGGTAAAACATCTAAATTATATTAAGTTTTAAAAGGAATAACCCAAAAAGATTATCAATAGGTAGCAACAGAGAAATACACCATTATACACGATGTCACAAGTGTCAAATATAACAAGGAAAACGAAAGTTTCTCATATTAGTGGGCATGTTTTCCAAGATTATAAAAAAAGTGTAAAATCAGAATATATAGAATTAAAATTGCACTTATTTTACTGTAAGATAAGCACTTTATTCTAAAATTATCACTATTATTAATAATTTTGTCGGACCCAAAAACCATGTTGACACTTGGGACGTAAGAATAAAGCTGTATACTGAGAGTGTACAAATACTACGTTGCCATCTATTGTACTTGACTCTATTTGGTATTCTCTATATATATTTAGAATACAGATATTAAATCTTTAAATCTTGATTGCCACCTTCTTAGATCCCTGCTGATGAGACTGTTGGACAAGAATGTTAGGACACGAATTGCCTCTCAGGAATAGCAAATAATGGTTCAACTTGTACAATTAACTAAGTACGCCCATACTAGAACATGATGATATGAAATAGTGATATCTTTATTTGGATGATAAACATAATTAACAATATGCAAAATATTATTCCTGGTAATGCAAATACGTCTTGGTTGCCTAAAAAGTCATATATTGAATTGTTTCTGTGTTAAATATAAATAAACAATCATTATGTTCCTACCAGAAACTACAATTTGTTGGTAAAAAAAAACACATTTGTTTGCATATATATGTATACCGATATATCTATATATGTATACGGATATATTTATATATGTATACGGATATATTTATATATGTATCTACAGTTTATACAACGTGTTTATATTCCTTTATTATTCACTTCTGTCCTTGTAATTTCAAGTGAAACTTCATTTAATTATAGAAGGCCATGTGCGATTCACTACGGTGCTCCTTAAACCTTTTTCTGATTACAGTTGTGGAAGATATTGTTATTTTTCTTGTTTGAAAAGTGTTTAATGATTAGTTTTTAAACAGAAAGCATTTCTTTCATTTTTGACCAAACAAACCGTTTAACAGTACAGTTGCTAATCGGACATGCCTGCACTCTTTACTGGAGGGTCCGTTGCGTCTACAATCCCTTTAAACCCTGAATTTGCCTATCCATAGGAGGGAAACGAAGAGGAGATCTTGGAACATAGTTTCTTTAGTTTAATTGACAAGAGTTTCCTGAGGAGAAGAAAACTAACTCCACCCTTTATCCCGTCCACAGAGATGAATGTGGACCAGGAGTTCCTGGAAGCAAGACCAGTCCTTAGTGAGATCCAGGGATCCTATACAGATACATCAGATAGGTACAAGGACGCCTTTCAGGGGTTTGATTTCTATAATGCTGATTTCTAGATTCAGATTTCAGGAACTGTATTGTAACGTAATTTGAGGCGACATTCCATTACTGTCGAGCCCGATTAAGAACGATACCATTTAGCAATTTATCGTTTTTATGTCTTTTCCTTTCTTGTTTCTGCTAAATCCGAAAGTCACTCTATAATTAAGTCTACAGTCTCCTTAAGATAAAGAAGGATGTTGCTGAATCATCATAAAAAAAATCTGAATCGACAGCAACATTATCCAGTTCTATCAGAGTTTTCTCTAAAACACTGACATCTCAGAAAGTAACAGATTATATGAAAGCTCTACTGAATTCTGATAGAAATAAAAATATTGAACCAATCAATTAATATTTTAAATTATATTTCATCCCGCACCCCCTTTTATGTGAACACTGCCTAATTTGTTATCAGACTCAATGTTAATTTATGATTTTTCTAATATCCAAATTTGTGTGCTTAATTATGATTAAATAAATGAAGATATTTGTAATTTTTGAATATTCTTTCTGAATCAAACTATATAGGCTAAAAATGATTTACCTAGATAAGAGATAGAGAGAGTTTAAAGAATAAGTGTATGTTTAAAACAAATGTGTTACTAACTCGTATTTTTGTAGCCCTATGTGTGAACAAATAAATTAATATTTTAGAGCTAAAAGAAATTGTTTAAATCAGAATAACCCACACAGCTAATTTAGCATGAAAAGGTTTAAGCTATGGTTTATGTTATGTAATAAAGGGTTATATGAATGTGTATGTATACTAATGTTATTAATAGCTACGCTTCAATAAACAAACTATTGTGGATAAACTCACGCTTAACAATTGTCGGCAAATAAATTTATCCCGGCCCATTACCTCGCATGCGTAACTTGGATTAGTGTTTGAAAATGAAGTTTAAAGTGACTAATAATAATGTAGTGAAAAAAGTTCGCCGGTTTTTTACAAGTCCATTCCAACATCTGTACGTAGCAAACACTTAGATCGTGTTAGACTAACATTGAGTTTATTACTACTCTTCATCCATCATTTATACTCATCCAACACATCACATCCTTCATCCTTCAAACCATCTTTCATTAATCATCTTTCATCCTTCATCCTAACCATGCAGAACTGTTCCGTATATAGATGATACAACATATGTTTAAAAGGGTGATCCACAACATAGCTCTTAATTTAGATATGCAGGGTGTCCAATAAAACATGATAAGTAAAAAAATACATATTCCGGCAATCATTCATGACCCAAAACTTATGGATACGATTCTTGAAATAATAATAAAAAAATAATCTCTGGCATTTTCAAAATGCGGTCTGTTTTTTGTGCTTTCATATTACTGCATGGAGATATGAATATTTGGTTCAATTTTCAATTTACTCTTTGTTATTTATAGTGGTTACGGTTTTGTCGCCTATCTATAATTATCATACATACAAACAAACACTAATTTATATCGGTTACGATTTGGTCGGCCACCTATATCCATAGAGAATAGAATATATATTAGAGGGGAATTTAAAGAATCTCTCGGTATGAATTTTTTCAGGCTGAAAGGGAGTTCAAAGTGTACAAGTCATGTAAATGTTCACAAATTATATGCAGTAGAGTACATTAGTACAGTATGTTTCCTAGACTATTCTTTTCTATTTCGAAATTTTTAAAGTTGTTAAATAAACTTTATAATGAATTAGGTGAATAAAAAAAATCATTTGATTTATAGTTATATCGGAAAATCAGCGTTAGTAAAGTGAAAGGTATAGAGTCTATCTGAGATGATCATTGGTCAATTATGAAACCAGCCTATTTCATAATTTGCTTTTCTTTTAACATTCATTTTAGATTTTCTTTAAAATGATATTCCAGGGCTTATGAGGTTATATAGCACAAATATGTGAAGTACACCTGCAGTATGGAAACAATACAACAAAATGGCCGTTTTACACTTTTTTCTAGTAAATTCCCCTCTAATATATATTCTATTCTCTTTGCCTATATCATACATACAAACAAACACTAATTTATATCGGTTACGGTTTGGTCGGCTATCTATATCATACATACAAACAAACACTAATTTATACCGGTTTCGGTTTGGCCGGCTATCAATATAATACATACAAACAAACACTAATTTATAGCGGTTACGGTTTGGCCGGCTACCTATATCATACATACAAACAAATACTAATTTATATCGGTTACGGTTTGGTCGGCTACCTATATCATACATACAAACAAAAACTAATTTGGCTCTTTATTTGTATTTTAACATTATATACAATTATTAATATAAAGAGGTTTAGGTTCTAAGAGCTGGTATAGATTGGGTTTAACCTAAACTCTACTAATTCCACTTTAAACTTATCTAAAATCAATCAGTCCTGTCCCTTTCAACAGGGTTTACTCAAAATCAGGGTTCGCTTGTAATCATTATTATCTCACAAATTCAGGAATCGTACTGCCATACTTTTTTTGTATTGCCATTATTAATTTAGTTCTAATAAGTGTACAGTCCGGTAGATCTACTGAAATAATTAGTCTACTATACTAAAGAGTGCACATATATAGTATATAGATCTACTGTAGTGATTAGTCTACTATACTAAAGAGTGTACATATATAGTATATAGATCTACTGTAGTGATTAGTCTACTATACTAAAGAGTGCACATATATAGTATATAGATCTACTGTAGTGATTAGTCTACTATACTAAAGAGTGCACATATATAGTATATAGATCTACTGTATTTACTGTATAGTCAATTCTTTTCCGAATCATTAAGTTTGCCTTTTAAAGACTAAATTCATTGTCGTCTTTACTATCTCATCCTTTCTGGGTGACCCTGTACTAACAAGGATTCATGTTAAATATTTCTACTGTAGTGTACTCTAGTACTAAAGAGTGTATATGTTAGATAGTTCTACTGTAGTGTACTCTAGTATTAAAGAGTGTACATGTTGTAAAGTTCTACATTAGTGTACGCTAGTACTAAAGAGTGTACATGTTGTATAGTTCTACTGTATTGTACTCTAGTACTAAAGAGTGTACTTGTTGTAAAGTTCTACTGTAGTGTACTCTAGTACTAAAGAGTGTACATGTTGTATAGTTCTACAATAGTGTACTCTAGAACTAAAGAGTGTACATGTTGTATAGTTCTACAATAGTGTACTCTAGAACTAAAGAGGGTAAATGTTGTATAGTTCTACTGTAGTGTGCTCTAGTATTAAAGAGTGTGCATTTTGGATAGTTCTACTGTAGTGTACGCTAGTACTAAATATTCTACATGTTGTATAGTTCTACTGTAGTGTACTCTAGTATTAAGGGGTGTACGTGGTGTATAGTTCTACTGTGGTGTACTCTAGTACTAAATATTGTACATGTTGGATAGTTCTACTGTAGTGTACTCTAGTACTAAATATTGTACATGTTGGATAGTTCTACTGTAGCGTACTCTAGTACTTAAGAGTGTATATGTTGGATAGTTCTACTGTAGTGTACTCTAGTACTAAATATTGTACATGTTGGATAGTTCTACTGTAGCGTACTCTAGTACTTAAAAGTGTATATGTTGGATAGTTCTACTGTAGTGTACTCTAGTACTAAATATTGTACATGGTGTGTAGTTCTACTGTAGTGTACTCTAGTACTAAAGAGTGTACATGTTGTATAGTTCTACTGTAGTGTACGCTAGTACTAAAGAATGTACATGTTGTATAGTTCTACTGTAGTGTACTCTAGTACTAAAGAGTGTACTTGTTGTATAGTTCTACTGTAGTGTACTCTAGTACTAAAGAGTGTACATCTTGTATAGTTCTACAATAGTGTACTCTAGAACTAAAGAGTGTACATGTTGTATAGTTCTAATGTAGTGTTCTCTAGTACTAAATATTGTACATGTTGTATAGTTCTACTGTAGTGTGCTCTAGTATTAAAGAGTGTGCATTTTGGATAGTTCTACTGTAGTGTACGCTGGTACTAAATATTGTACATGTTGTATAGTTCTACTGTAATGTTCTCTAGTACTAAATATTGTACATGTTGGATAGTTCTACTGTAGTGTACTCTAGTACTAAATATTGTACATGTTGGATAGTTCTACTGTAGCGTACTCTAGTACTTAAGAGTGTATATGTTGGATAGTTCTACTGTAGTGTACTCTAGTATTAAATATTGTACATGTTGTATAGTTCTATTGTAGTGTACTCTAGTACTAAAAAGTCTACATGTTCTATGAGTGTATATGTTGGATAGTTCTACTGTAGTGTCTCTAGTACTGAAGAGTGTAAATGTTCTATGAGTGTACATGTTGTATAGTTCTACTGTAGTGTACTCTAGTACTAAAGAGTGTACATGTTGTATAGTTCTACTGTAGTGTACACTAGTACTAAAGAGTGTACATGTTGTATAGTTCTACTGTAGTGTGCTCTAGTACTGAAGAGTGTACATGTTCTATTAGTGTACATGTTGTATAGTTCTACTGTAGTATACTCTAGTACTTATTGTACATGTTGTATAGTTCTATTGTAGTGTACTCTTACTAAAAAGTCTACATGTTCTATGAGTGTACATGTTGTATAGTTCTACTGTAGTGTACTCTAGTACTAAATATTGTACATGGTGTATAGTTCTACTGTAGTGTACTCTAGTACTAAAGAGTGTACATGTTGTATAGTTCTACTGTAGTGTGCTCTAGTATTAAAGAGTGTGCATTTTGGATAGTTCTACTGTAGTGTACGCTAGTACTAAATATTTTACATGTTGTATAGTTCTACTGTAGTGTACTCTAGTACTAAAGAGTGTACGTGGTGTATAGTTCTACTGTGGTGTACTCTAGTACTAAATATTGTACATGTTGGATAGTTCTACTGTAGTGTACTCTAGTACTGAAGAGTGTACATGTTCTATGAGTGTACATGTTGTATAGTTCTACTGTAGTGTACTCTAGTACTGAAGAGTGTAAATGTTCTATGAGTGTACATGTTGTATAGTTCTACTAGGATTAGGAAAACAAGCCTCTAATTGAATCAGAGTCCTGGGATAAACAACTCTACACCATGAATACTGAATATAGAATATAGAAGGATATATAATATAGAATATAGAATAAAGAATATAGTATATATAGAAGAATATAGAATACAGTATTTAGAATATAGAAGGATATAGAATACAGTATATAGAATATAGAAGGATACAGAATACAAAATAGGAATATAGAATATAGAAGAATATAGAACTCAGAATACAGAAAAATTGGATACGGAATATGGAATATAGAATTAAGTATATAGAGTACAGAATATAGAATATAGAAGGATATAGAATGCAGTATAAAGAATATAAAAGGATATAGAATGCAGAATATAGAATATAGAATATAGAAGGATATAGAACTCAGAATACAGAAAAATTGGATACAGAATATGGAATATAGAAGAATATAGAATACAGAATATATAAGAATAAATAAGATTACTTATATTCGATGAAAAGAGTTAATTTTTATTTTCTCAGCCTGTTTTTGTCGTCGTTATTTAATAACTTAAAAAAACGATTCTCATAACTTACCCACCCAAATTGATGATTTTTAAAGTCGACTTTGCGCTCAATCTCAGTAATTATACGTCGTAGAAATGTTTCATAGGTCTCAAATGATTCCTAAAAAAATGTTTTCTTAAGGAAATCTATTTAAAAGCACTCCACTCGTTGTTGTTGTGTTATGCTTTCTAATTCCTTGTCTACATATAACCATAAATTCAACGGTATTGGGTGTTAAACAAATCCGATTAGCTTCACCCAATTCAATAATCTTAATGACCCTTCCCACCATTTTATACATACAGAAAATAGGAGATGTAAAATTGGAATGAGTTTTTTCTTATATTTGATCTTTTTATAGGTTTTTGAAGAATTAAACAGAAACATCTAAAATATTTTTGTTTATATTGCTCAAACCCCGACCCCCCCCCCCCTT